AGTCCTTGGAGAGGGACATCATGCTTGGGAGGGTGGAGGGACAGCACAGGAGAGGAAGACCCTCGATGAGATGGACTGATTCAATGATTTGGGTTACGGGGGTAGGTGTGTCAAAGACAATAAGACTGGCACAGCATAGAGTAAGGTTTAGGGCTGTTGTACAGAGGGTCATTATGTGTCACAGGTGACTCAACTGCACAAAACAACAACAACATAAACAATAGAGCTGAATCTTCCCCATCCTCCCAATCTGCTTCATGCTTAAATCCATTGTTATAGTCATTGTATTAATCCATCTTGTTGAGGGTCTTCCTCTCACCCTTACCTTTCCCAGCAGGATGTCATTTTTTAAGGACCAGTTCTTCTGACAACAAGCCTAAAATATATGAGACCAAGTTTCACCATCCTTGCCTTTAAGAAGCACACAGGTTGTACTTCCTCTTAGACAGCCTTGTTTGCTCTTTTGGCAGACCATGGGATATTCAGTATTCTTCTCCAACACCACAATTTGAAGGCAGCATTTCCTCTTTGTTCTTTATTCACTGTCCAACTTTCAGATGTACAGGAAGCAACTGAAATTACCATGGCTTGGGTAAGGCATATCTCAGTCTTTCAACTGACGCTGCTGCTTTTTTGGACTTTAGAGAGGTTCTTGACATTAAATTTGCCCAATCCAACATATTTTTTTTTTGTTTTAATTTCCTGACTGCTGCTACTACTATGGATGTTGGTTGTGGATATAGTATGAAATATATTTTAGCTGTTATTAAAAAATAACCAAAACCCAGTTGCCAATGAGTTGACAGCAACTCATGACGGTTCCTTGTGTGCAGAGCAGAACTGTTCCACAGGGTCTTTGCGGCTATCACCTTTGAGAGTAGATCTCCAGTCATTTCTTTGAGACACTGCTATCAGTTGGTTTGACCAACCAGCCCTTCTGTAAGCCTCGTACATAGAAATATATAGGAGAAATAACCTAATAATTCTAGGAGGTTTGAAGAAGTTGTTTTTGTGAGATGCCTTAGCTTA